TCTGAATATACTCCACTGGGTCTAAATATACTCCACTGGGTCTGAATATACTACACTGGGTCTGAATATACTCCACTGGGTCTGAATATACTCCACTGGGTCTGAATATACTCCACTGGGTCTAAATATACTCCATTGGGTCTGAATATACTCCATTGGGTCTGAATATACTCCATTGGGTCTGAATATACTCCACTGGGTCTAAATATACTCCACTGGGTCTAAATATACTCCACTGGGTCTGAATATATACTCCACTGGGTCTGAATATATACTCCACTGGGTCTGAATATATACTCCACTGAGTCTGAATATACTCCACTGGGTCTGAATATACTCCACCAGGTCTGAATATACTCCACCGGGTCTGAATATACTCCATTGGGTCTAAATATACTCCATTGGGTCTGAATATACTCCACTGGGTCTGAATATACTCCATTGGGTCTGAATATACTCCATTGGGTCTGAATATACTCCATTGGGTCTGATTATACTCCATTGGGTCTGAATATATACTCCACTGGGTCTGAATATATACTCCACTGGGTCTAAATATACTCCACTGGGTCTGAATATACTCCACTGGGTCTGAATATACTCCATTGGGTTTGAATATACTCCATTGGGTCTGAATATATACTCCATTGGGTCTGAATATACTCCACTGGGTCTGATTATACTCCACTGGGTCTAAATATACTCCATTGGGTCTGAATATACTCCATTGGGTCTGAATATACTCCATTGGGTCTGAATATATACTCCATTGGGTCTGAATATACTCCACTGGGCCTAAATATACTCCACTAGGTCTGAATATACTCCACTGGGTCTGAATATACTCCACTTGGTCTGAATATACTCCACTTGGTCTGAATATACTCCACTGGGTCTGAATATACTCCACTGGGTCTGAATATACTCTATTGGGTCTGAATATACTCTATTGGGTCTGAATATACTCCACTGGGTCTGAATATACTCTATTGGGTCTGAATATACTCCACTGGGTCTAAATGTATGCCACTGAGTCTAAATATACGCCACTGAGTCTAAATATACTCCACTAAGTCTAAATATACTCCACTGGTCTAAATATACTCCACTTGGTCTGAATATACTCCACTTGGTCTGAATATACTCCACTTGGTCTGAATATACTCTACTTTGTCTGAATATACTTTACTTGGTTTAAGAGTATGAATATACACAACTGAAGCTAAATGTACCCTTGGGTCCAGATGTCAGAATATATTCTGCTGGGTCACCGTCTAAATATACTGAGCTGAATCTAAATACATTTATACAGTGTTCATAATACCTGATGATTTATGGGAGCCTTTATACCTTGTTTGTTGTTATGTGATCATTATATACAGTCTCCTCCATTCTGTAGCATCAGCGAGATCTCTGATTGGTGTGAAAGCACCACCACCCTTTGTGGAATCATCTCCATTACATCAAGAAAACAAAATGGATTACATTGATGGTAAGTGCTCTCAAATTGTGGAAAAAAATGAAAAGTATTTTTTTAAAGAGTGATTTCATCTGGCAAACATTGATTTTTAATTTCTTTTGTTGAATAAAATTTAAATTTTATTTTCTGTATGTCAAACATATCGTACTTTTATGTACAGGTGATGGGAGGTGTATGATGCTACATTTTTGACTACCATAGTTGTGTTGCGTAATGTTTGATATGTCATACAGCACCTGTAAAATTATTTCACTTGTGTACCGGACATTTGAATTGTATGCTGTGTGGCAATATTTTCACACATCTCATCAGTGTTACATGAAATAACAGGTGCTAATTTTGATTTGTTGTATTGTTTCAGGAAAAACAGAAAATGATAATAATTATAAACAGGAAGCTAATAAACAGATTCCAAAGTAAGTATGAACATTTGATAGTTACCCACAATGCATTACTATTCGGTTAAGAGATGGAGCATTATTGATTCGGTTCATGTGTCTGTCTGTCCTTGCATACTGGTACATGTATGTCATCCATTTGTCATCATGTGACACAGGTTAACTGTCATGTAATTCTCACTTTAAATAAGTTCTTTCTTGGTTATTTGCTTCAGGCATGATTGGTTCCAGAGTGATAGCACAGTAACTATTGTGATTTACACCAAATGCAAGGTAAGTTTAATAATGTATGCTTTTTTATAATTTTGATGTTCACAATATGTATTTTTTTTCAACTAAAAATGATTTAATCAAATACCACAATACATTTGAAAGCGACCGTTCACACGCAACTACACGCAACGCAACAATTGGATAGAGAAATTGAATGCATATACATAATGCTTTATGTTATAAGAAAAGTTAAGATTGTGACATTTATTAATTTAATACATTTCCATTTTGTTGTTGTATACTGTATATTACATTATTTTTGCTTGGAATTGATTTTTGATCAGTGAAAATAAAAATCCAGCAAATAACCCTTTTTCCTATATTTTACATTCAACTCATAAAAAAATCAGTGGAAATAAACATTATACAAAACACCAAGATGTCTTTTCAGTGAAAATTAATTCCAGCTAAATTAAATTATTTTACAGTACTTTAATGCAATGGAATTGCTCTGTAATGCAAAATTATTAATGCCGTAAATGGATCTGTTGAAAATGTTTGTTTGTTTGTAATTATATTTTCACAGACCATGTCTGAAGATAGAGTAATGGTTGTTAAGACTAACAGTGAAATCTATATTACTATTTTTATTGAAGAGTCTGTTTTAGATTTACAATGGGGTAGGTAGAAATATCACTTAGCTTATATACATCTGTCACCTTAACGCCATAAGTTACAGCATGCCGTAATTTTGCAGTCGCACTTGGTATTTTCATCCTACCATTTTCGGAAACAGGAATTCCAAATATGAAACAATTACGCACATAAGCGTCCTCTCATAATAAAAACAAACATGTTCTAAACGTATTGATGTATTCCTGGAAGGAAATATATAATAATAAGATTATTATGAGGATTCTGCAAATTATGCACTCAGACATTACGCGGTTAGATCGACCTCCATTGCGTGTCAGTCGATACTCTCACTATACTGTCTTTGTGCATACTTTGCAGTATCCTCATATTACCTCATATTATTATAAATTTGTCATGGTCTCTCCACAACTTACAGTGTGCTATATCTGCATAACCTACCATATTAGGAAATATAAATTCCAAATATAGAATGATTACGTGATATTTGATGTTTTTGAAAACAAAACTCATAGCGACAAAGTTCAAGTAATTGTCACCATTTTGTTCAGTATAGGAATTCCACATCAAGTAGTTGGATCAGGAAGATGTACAATGTATAATAATAAGGTTATTACAGTTGATACCCCTGCAGTACTGTTTTCATGCATATTGTATAATCTCATGTTTTATGGACATTATACATTACATTTGCAGGTACCGGTACATTTGTTTCACTATCAAATTCAAGATGGCCGGATGGTGGCCATTTTAGTGCTAAAACATGCTTCAATATTAAGCATTTTTATCATTCTGAACTTCGGCTTCAAACTTACAATGAACATCATGTGACCTTGATGAAAGTTTTCTTGTTTTACAAATCAGAATTAAAATTTGCCAATTTGCAGCTACTGTAGAATACTTTATTTTCATTTGAAATTAATTTTTGCTATTTTCGCTGTAGAAATGATTCAGTGAAAATAAAATCCAGCGAATAAACCTTTTTTCCTATGTTTTACATTCAACTTGTCAAAAATCAGTGAAAATAAATTCCATGCAAAACACTCAAAATGTCTTTTCAGCAAAAATTAAGTCGAGCTAAAATAAAGTATTTTACAGTATTATATTTTATGGATGACTTAAAATGGATTGGGGAACTAGATTTCAAGCTTTTGTGGATGCATTTTGTTCAAATATATAACTATAATATTTGCCAAAGCCTTTAATCTGCTTCATGGGGGGGGGGGGTATGCTACGATGTATAAATCACGTGCCAAGAAAGATTGAAATGTTCAAAAAAATGAAGCCTAAATTGGATAATTTGTGGTACTTTAAAATGAATATGCATAGAAAAATATAATTCAAATCTAAATCACAGGCAATGGAAACCTATTACAAAATTTTTCTAAATACACAAGCCTCGTACAAATTGAGATCATGAGTGAATAACATGTGTGTCTGTGTTGTAATTATTTCCAGATCTTGAAGAAGATGTTGGTGTAGAACATCAAGGTAAGCCATAGTTTAAAAGTACTACTGCTGTGGTTATATACAGACATTGCTTACTAAGGGGATTGATCACTCCACTCACCTATCACTCACTTTAAATCAAGACCCAAAAAAGCTGTCTATCACTCAGCTGAATCATGATCAAGAAGAGCTAATGATTTCTGAATAAAGCCTTACCATTTTGTAGATTTGTTTTAGCTTACGGTAGCTTCACTCATGTTAC